TAAAAAAATAATTTCATCAAAGTCATTAAACTAAATTGATCTGTAAAAGTGACCTTAACCTCCTCTTTCCTTCCAGTGCCGCTCCCCGAGATCCCTCCAGCGCCAGTGACTCCTGAACCTCCCTCTGTCCCCCCATCTCCCTCCTCATCCTCCTCGCCGTCTCACTCCCCCCTCCCTCCCCTCTCACTCCCCTCACCCCCGCCTCCACCAGAAGAACAAGAGGAGCCCTCCCAGCCTCCAAGCCCCATCGCTCCTACATCCCCATCTCCGCCACCTCCCGCACTCGCTCCTCTCCCTCAGCCTGCCACTCCTCCACCTGCGACATCGCCTTCGCCTCCTTCCCCTCCTCCTCCTCCTTCCCCTCCTCCCCCTGCTCCTGAGCCTCCTACTCAGAAGGAGTCTCCCATGCCATCTCCAGAGTCCCCCGCCTCTCCCGAAGAGCCCCCACCTCCCAAAATCACCTCGCTGCATCTTGCCCAGAAGCAAGAAGATGCTGCCATTGTTGGAGAGAGTGAGGAGGATGAGAGCGAAAGTGGCGGGGAGGGAATCTTCAGAGAAAGGGACGAGTTTGTGGTGCGAGTGGAAGACATCCGGACTCTCAAGGTATTTGTGTTTTTTGTGTGAAAATTATTGGGGAAAATCATCAGGGAAAATTATGTTTTATAATTCGTAATAAATGAGTTTTAAGATTTGAATCTTTCAGTGGCGGCCAAGTTACAGTGACATGTTTTACTCACTTACGTCTCATGTGTTTTGCCATAGCTGGCCCTGCAGACGGGCCGTGAGCCTCCACCCATCTGGAGAGTGCAGAAAGCCCTGCTGCAGAAGTTCAGTCCAGAGATTAAAGATGGGCAGAGGCAGTTCTGCGCCACAAGCAATGTGAGTTCTCTGCTACATCATAGCATGTGATTAAGGTTCTGTAATGTAGTATACGCTGAAATGTACATTACGTGTGAATATCAATGGGTGCACACAAATTTAATATTATCATGTTAAATATATGTAATTTCTTTCTCTGTCAGTATCTTGGCTACTTTGGAGATGCCAAGAGACGATACCAGCGAATCTATGTCAAGTTTTTGGAGAATGTCAATAAGAAGGACTACGTCAGAGTCTGCTCTCGGAGGCCTTGGCGCAGAGCCACACCTGCTCTCAGGTACCAATATTTACCATATGGAAAATTCTATTCATATTAAATTAATCCTAGCTAGATTTAGCAAGGAAAGAAAATCACCTTGGCTCTGGGACTGGAAGAGGAGCCGCAGTTGAGCACTTGGAGGATAAGCCGGTTGATACAGATCTCACCTCTGGGACTGAACTGTGACACAGTGAATTATTTTGCTATTACACCTGATGAGATTCTTTCTGTCTTTCTAATGACTATATGCAGTATATATTGAGTTGACTTCTCTTTAACTGTACTGATGCACATCTGTAAAACAATTCCTTCATGTGCTACAGACGCCAGTCCCTCCCGAGGATGGCCTCCCCTCCCGCGTCCCAGGCGCCACCCAAAGTAGCGGAAAAAGAGGAGAGAGTGGCTCCACCAGTCCCACGCGAACAGAGAGAGAAAACGAGAACAGCGAGTACAACAACGGCGAAAGATCAACGGGAGAAGAAGGAGGCTCCATCTGCCGTGCCGAAAGCCAAGGAGAGAGAGAGGGAGAAAGAAAAAGAGAAGGAGCATGAGAAGGAGCGTGAGAGAGAGAAGGAGAAGCGAGTGCAGCCGCAGCAGGACAAAGTAGAGAAACGAGCTGCAGCAACAGAACGAGGTCGGGTGAAGGAGGAGAAGAAAGCCGTGGAGAGGAAAGAGAAGGAAAAGGCTGAGCGCCCACCCAAGTCCAAGCCGGCCAAAGTGAAGGCCGAGCCACCGCCCAAGAAGAGGAAGAAGTGGCTGAAGGAAGTACCTTCATCATCAGACTCGGACTCATCGGATGAGGCAGCTAGTGAGAATGAAAGTGAGCTGCCATTTTGATTCTTTGTGCTTGCATTTTGGGGTTTATAGAGTTTTTATCTCTTTTGAGGCCATAATAATGAAGCTGCTTCTCATCCACTCAGTGCCAGTGAAAGGCGGAGTGAACAACCGTGCCATGAGGGAGATGTTCAGGAGCTACGTGGAGATGCTGGTCAGCACGGCCCTGGACCCCGACATGATCCAAGCTCTGGAGGACACAGATGGTGAGAAATCAGCTTATTACACTTCAAGCTTGCTTTTATAAATCCACTGAAGCTCAGACTTTAATTGTGTATTTCTAATCTAACCAGACCTCCCTGTCTGGTGGCATATTTTTTGCAGCTTAAATGCCAAACAATTGTGTTGACGCATTAAATATCACAACCACTGGTAAGCAGCACCTGCCAGGTTTTAAATGAAGCCATCCAGCGGAACAACCTGCTTTACGACAGCAGGGGAATTGTTAGCGAGTTGTGTAGCGCGCATACTCAGATGAATCTTTTAATGGGTTTTTAAGAAATCCAAATAAACAGGAAGTGACAGGTTGACAGAAAGCCCCCCGAATCCTGAAAAATTTGCAGACAGAAAGAGCCTCTTTGATTCAGCCCTGTCGTATTATAATGATTGGCAGCTGCATGAATGATCACTAATGAAACTTCCTCTGTGTTGATTGGCCACCAGACGAGCTGTACCTCCCACCGATGAGGAAGATTGACAGCATCCTCAGCGAACAGAAAAGGAGGCTGCTGAGGAGAGTCAGCATGAACTCTCAGCACCAGGTAATCTGTCCTGAATGCCTGTCTCTCTCTCTTTCTCGTTCTCTCATGGCTGAACACTCTCTTCATATTTAATACACAATACTGTGCTCCCTTCATTTAAACTGGCACATTTTCTATTTTGTAAAATATGCTGATATTTGTGGTACACAAACAAAATCTAGACTCTTGTTAAATAGCTCTGTTGTGCGTATAAGAACAATGCTAGACCCATCAATAAAATATATATATTTACGGGAGGAATTCAGTAAACATTTTCTGTTTCCTAGGTGTTAGAATTGGCTGCCTTTTCCATTAGAAATGCACCTTGGGCTTTACTAAGTAGAGTAAACTAAAGCTATAGTAAGTGATAATAACAACAGATAATCAATACATTTATTGGTAGTCAAAATAATTACTCCACTCAAGCTGAGATACAAAATGTAGCATGTTCTGTTTCCAAGTTATCTCTTCTCCCCGTGACTGTGTCTGATGTTATTCTGGGTCCCTTCCCTCAACAGGAAGTCGTGCATGCTTACCCCCAGATCATTGTAGACCCCCTGGACTCAGGAGTGGTCAGGGTGCGGCTGAGCGGTGACGCTTACAACCGCAAGACCCTCAACAGAGTCAAGAAGACCCTGCCTAAACCACAGGTAGGCTTCGTGTGGGTGCTCTCCCAGTGATGAGTCATCAGGGCCTTTGTGTGTATTTAACAGTATTTTTGTTCAGATTTAATGATCCATTCAGTCACATTTGATTTGTTGAGCTCTCAAACATTAGCAGAACCTCTACTGCTCATTTTAGGACATTTTTAGCCTATGACCAGGTGATTGTTTTTTGTTTCTGGGTGAGATAATTGAAGCACTTGAGGATCTTGATGTTTGCTTCCTGAGGAGCAGAAAATATAGAAACTGAAACTCCTGCCTAAACAAAAATAACCACTGCTGTTAAAAGCAGTAACAGTGGAGTGTGGCTGACAGATGAGCTTCCCCTCAAACACCTGCTGCAAGTTTCTGAACCGGCTCCACTTTTCCTCTTTCTCACACAGAGCTGCAGAGTTGATATCGACTTTAAGCTCTGAGATAGTTTTGTTTATTGATGCTGGTAGAATCTGACATTTCTTAATCGGATTTCTTTCTTCTAGGACCTTAAACTGTCATCTGAGACATATCGGATCTACAGTCTCTACCACTCCCTTCATCACTATAAATACCACACCTTCTTACAGTGCAAGAAAGAGGTAAGAAAGCATGTCCCGAGGATCAGTATACACTTAGGTCATGCTAGAAAAGTTTATTGACAATTTCTTCAGTTTTTTTGTGCTTTAGGTTTTAGATACCAATCAAATACAGTCCACAAACCTCATTAGACACAGAACCAGCTCATATATGCTTTCTTTTTTTGCTTGAAACCCTAGTTTATGTCCGAGCGTCACAATTGTCTGTGTTTCTGTCCCACTTTTCCAGACCAACACCATTGAGCAGGCAGCTGAGGACCCGGGCCAAGAGGAAGTGGTGCAGCAGTGCATGGCCAACCAGAGCTGGCTGGACACCCTCTTCAGCTCCTTCATCGAGCTGCTCACGCTCAGCACCAAAGCTTGAGCCAACTGCAGCAAGACGGAGAGAATTCATTAAAAGCGAACGGATTAAAAAAAAAGAGAAGAAAATCCAAACGGAAAGAGATGGATCCTACTGTACAGCCCCCCAACCCTCTTCAAATCTCTAATATCTGAGGATGAATTTTTAAGGCCTTTGACGAACAAAAGCGGGTCTGTTCATGTGACCTCAGACACTGGCCTCTTTTCTTTTTCTTGTTGTTGATAAATGACTTTAAGAAATATCTTACTTTGTGAGAAGGGGGACCCCGCCAGATATGGGGCCGCTGGTGGGTCAAGAGGGAATTGACGGTTGTTGAAATGGGAGCGACGCGATGTGGACAAAGGACTAACAGAGGAGGAGCCGCAAATGCCAAGTCAACAGAGGAGCCACTGACATCTTGTTAACTGTGTGTCATAAAGACAATAGTTCAAAGAGAAACTATTACCGCTTAGTTTTTACATAAATTATTTTTTTGAAAAGACTAACATTCGCTGTTGGCTTTTGAAAAGAGTGGAAGAGGGTGAGAATGCTTTTTAACCTGCGTGTCGAGCGTGCCGTGAGCTAACGTGAACATGGACTCGTCTACGAATAGAAACATTAAATGTGTTAACGAACGCTCTCCCTCTCATCCCGTGTTATGTCACGGGCAGCACCAGTCCGCTGTGTGATAATATATAAACACATTTTTATTATTTATATGAGGAGGTTTTTAACTTAAACTCTCACAAGCGCTGGGTTTGCTGCCCGGACATTTTAAATACCTTTTTTTATTTTCCACAGGTTCAGTGTACAATCGGTAACCCACATATCCAAGTCGTCTTCCCCTCTATACAAAAAGAACAGACGTTGAGACAGAAATATTGTATAAAATACAGTGGGTGTAAAATAACAAAAACAAAGGAAGAAAAGAAGAAAAAAAAGAAGGGAATGGGAAATTCTATTTGAAACGTAACATTGTCGTTCTTCAGTTCAATCATCAGTCATGCAGGTGCAAAGAAAAAGAAGTAAACTATCCATTTCCCATGTGGGAAGAAGGAGTATAAATAAGTAATATTTAAAGAGGAAATAGTCATTTCATTTTTATCATTTTGATGTTTGTGCATACTATGACTTATTTTGAAAACAATCTAATTTTCCATAAAAAAAGGAAAAAAAAGGCGTGTAAATATTGTACAGTTCTTGATGAAATTCTTTGTCCTTCTGTACATTAACTCTCCTGTATTTGAGAAACAAATAAAATCTGCAAAGAACAAATGCTGCTTGATTCCCCGACTCTTCTATACTACTTAGTCTAAAGGTTATTTTAAAACATGATTTGCGCGTTGTTCTTTGACTTGGATGTCTGACACTCTATGTCCGTAAACTTAATATAAATATGGACGACATGACAGTTCCCTTGAAGTTAAGCTGCAAGTTTCTCAACTGCTGGTAACTGGCTGGAGCATAGGTCATAAACACCTCCATCTCCTCCATGTCAGTTAATGGGACATGGACCAAATTAAAAAGTACACGTCAGATACATTTTTCTCAAAGATGGTTTCTGCCATTTGAGGTTCGTCCAAGTGTTCAATTACACTAGTAAGTTTGGTTTTAACACATTTTTTTGATGCTCTTAAAAACGTGGTGACACATGATTAACAGCTGAGATTGACTCACGATTGGTCGAGTGAGTATATCGGCGAGACCTCCATGCCTGGCTCCTTCCCTTGATTGCCACTGGGCAGACTCCATCATCGGTGCAAGAAGGCATCGTTCATTGTAGGGGCATTCTGGCTTCATTTCTGGATAGTGGGAGGAAGTGGTGTGGAGAGTATTGTCTTTAAGTTGTTGACCACCGCACTGAGAACCATGTGTTAGTATGAGTTGTCCCAGTTTTAGCATGACCATTGTTTGGAGCAATAACACACAAACATGATTGCAATGTGCTCATAGGGAGTTGCAGGACACGTCCGGGAAAGTTACAAGTATCTGCTACAAGGTCTGAAGAACAGTAAATAATCTCAGACCAGGTGCAGTCATGAATGGAAGATACGCACACACATTGTGTGTGCACATTTTACTCTCTGCTCTATGCACACACACACACACACACATTCCCGTGCACAAACACACACGTTTTGCTGTCAAGGTCAGGAAGAGCTCTTCCCTCTCCCACATTGACCAAAACCATATAAGGAGTTGTTATTCCGGTGAAACTAAGGATGATACACTGTGCATGATGTGCAAGAGATGATAAAACATAACTGGAGATAGATAGGGATGGGGACATGAGGTTCAAGGTAAAGATGGTACCACATCGCCAAAGGAGGGACCAAGCAAGGAGTGGCTCATGCTCATTGTTTTTTTTCAAGTGCCAAGAGGCCAGGACTGAGTCTGTGCACCAACAAGGGAAAGCTGAGTCGAAACCATGGCTGTTCCCCGCCCTTATTGACCAATCACGTTAATTCTCATGTTACAAAAACTGTGTGATGCCAAATGACTTTTCACAACTCTGGGTGGCTTACAGCCAGGTTGTGTGGGGATGCCCATAGCTATGTAATGCTTTTTCATTGTTTGGTAATAAATGTTCATTGATTGTACACGGATTGACATAAATCTGAGTTTAAGACAAGCAACCACTAGTATAATTTATAAAAAAATCAAAGTTGTGGTTCAATACAAAACTCAAAACAAGTACAATGTAGAAATTTAAGGAAATAAAGACTGAAAATGAATTGAAATCAATTTTCAACAAGACAAATTATTATTTTTCAGTATGAGGGACTATTAAAGCCATAATGAAGATTTTGAAATAGTCATACGATGAGAATTAGGTCTTAATTAAATGAGAAATAGTCATAACATTACGAGAATACAAATTTTTTTAAAGCAAATAAGAAGCAAAAAGTTCCACACCTTCTGGATAAATGTAATAATAATAGCAACACATATTATCATTATTGTTGTTATTACTCTATATGTAATAATACATAAACCTTGCTATATGTCATGAATAAACTTCAGATTCATGGTTAATATTGTAAATCATTTGTAAATGCGTGATGTCCTCACAAGTATAGTGATATAAACGAGTGATTTGCCCCACCTAGCGGTCCCTGCTGACGTCACATCTGGAAAACGAAACCAGAAGGAGTTGGAGTTTCCCGTGAAGCTGCAGCTGTGAGTGTGAGTGTGTGAGTGTGTGAGTGTGTG